CACATCCCTTCTGGATCCACTCTCTTTTGTATTTCATTGGAAAAGAAGAGTCTTCTAAGAGATAACAACCAAACAAGACAAAATAAAATAAAATAAAATAAAATAAAATAAAATAAAATAAAATAAAATAAAATAAAGCAAAAACTATCATATCCAGGTTGCACACAGTAGCCCACCAACAGGAAAAGAGGCCCAAGAGCAGGCACAAGAATCAGAAAACCACTTGTTCTCCCACTCAGGAGTCCCATTAGAGCACTAAACTGAAAGCTGTAATATATATGCAGAGGACCTGGTGCAGACCCATGTAGGCCCTGTGCTTGCTGCTTCAGTCTCTGTGAGTTCCTATGTGCCTTGTTTTGTTCATTCAGAGGACCTTGTTTTCTTGGTGTCCTCCATCCCCTCTTCATTTCTCCTCTTTTACAAGGTTCCCAGAGTCCTGAGGGGAGGTATTTGACATGAAACTGACAAGTTTCTGTAAGGCAAAAGACATAGTCATTGAGACAAAATGATAGCCTACAGAATGGGAAAAGATTTTTACCAACTCCACATCTGATAGACTACTATTGAAAATATATAAAGAACTCAAGAAATTAGATATAGAAAATTCTAAATATTCCAATTTAAAAAAAATGGGTTACAGATCTAAACAGAAAATTCTCAATACAGGAAATTCAAATGGCTGAGAAACACTTAAATGATTCCTAATGATATTCTGTTATACTCATAGGATCAATGCCTAACCCATTTGTCATCAGAGAGACTTCCTCCAGTAGCTGATGGGGACAGATACAGAAACCCACAGTCAAATATTAAGCAGAGCTCAGAAAACTCCACAAAAGAGGGGGAGAATGGATGGTAGGAGACAAAGGATTTTAGGATGCCAGGAGAACATGTCCCACAGAATCAGCTGAACAGGGCTCATAGGGGATCACAGAGACTGAAGCAGCAACCACAGAACCTCATGGATCTGCACCAGGTCTTCTGCATACATGCTGTGGTTCATCAGCTTAGGGATTTTGTTAGACTCCTAACAATGGGAGTGGGTGTTGTCTCTGATTCTCTTGCCATCTCATGGGACCCTTTTCCTCCTAATGAGTTACCTCACCCAGCCTTGATATGAGGCTTGTGCTTAGTCTTATTGCATCTGACTATTCCGAGTTCAGTTGACATACTGGGAGGCCTGCTCATTTCTGAAGGAAACGGGAAGAGTAGTGGATCTGGGGGAGAGGGGACATGGGGTGGGGACACTGGGAGGAGAAGTGCAAGAGGAGGCTGCAGTTGGGATGTATTTTGTGAAGGAAGAATAAACAAATAAAATAATTTTTAGAAGTAATTTAAAAAGTCAAAAGATTTGCCAATGATACCAGTGAGAAACTGATGTTCTCACATAGAGACCCAGATACCCAGAACCATGTCCAACAAAGATGCTGTTCAAAAAATATTTGCTGAACAAATGAGAAAAAAAATGTTCAACTTCCTTACCTATAGGGGAAATATAAATCAAAACTACTTTGTGGTTCCAACTTATACCTGTCAGAATGGTTAAAATCAATAACACAAGCAGCAGCTCATGTTTTGAGGATGTGGAGCAAGGGGACAATCCTTCCTTGGTTGTGGAAGTATAAATATCCACTATAAAAATCAATATGGTGGTTACTCAGAAATTTGGGAATCTATCTACCTTAAGATCCAGCTATACCACTCTTGGACATATAGTGTCCTTCCAATAGGACACTTCACTGTACCACACTTGCTCAGCCATGTTCACTGTGACTTTGTTCATAATAGCTAGAAACTGTAAACAATCTAGATTTCCCTCAACTGAAGAATGGATACAGAAAATGTGATACATTTACACAATGGAATATTATTTGGGTATTAAAAATGACATCATGAAATTTGCAAGCAAATAGATGGAACTAGAAAAAAAATCTTCCTGAGTGAGGTAACCCAGACCCAGAAAGATAAATATGGTATGTATTCACTTATAAGTAGATATTAGCTGTCAAGTAAATGATAAGCATGTTACAATCCATAGACACAGAGAGGTTAGTTGTAGAGGAAGTGTCTAGGATAGGATGCATGGATCTCCCTGGGAGAGGGAAATAGAATAGATTTATAGGTGGACTGGAGGTGGGTGTGGACAGGAAAGGGATGGAGGACAGGGTAGAAGGAGAGGATTCTGGAAGAGACACCTGGAATTGAGGGTCATTTGATGAATGGAAATTTAGTGTAGTGGGAACTTCCTAAAATATGTGAAGGTGATCCTAGTGAGGTCTCCTAATAATGAAAGTGATGGAGTCCAAACTCAGTATCTCTTGTCACCAAACAGAGATTCTAGTAGTGGGACTGGGCTGCATTCCATTGAGTTGTTGCCTGAGGGAGTCCCATGGAAATCCCCAAACAACCCAGGCTGTTGCTAAGACCAAAGGATGCTGTCTGCAAACTGACAGAGGGGTTCCATTGCTGAAGCCAACACCTACACAACTCATTGAATACAGAGAAGTGGAGCTGGTGCCTACATGGATCCTTCACCTATTTCAACCCAGATAAAAAGTGGAGCATAGAATTTGTTCTTACTGGGTCTATGGACCACACTTAAGGGCAGACCCAGGTCCAGCAGTAGATAGTTAACACAAATTGAACTCAATAGTATCTTTGGAGACTTTTTTCTCCCTCATTGCTTTGTTTGGACATTTTACATTATTGGTCTTCTGCTTGTATATAATTTCTCATTTTGTGTTTTATGGTTTTGTTTGAGAGAGAGAGAGAGAGAGAGAGAGAGAGAGAGAGAGAGAGAGAGAGAATGCGTGTGTGTCTATGTATCTGTGTTTTTGTGCTTTTTCTTATTTTTAAAATTTGCCTGTTGGTTTTCTTTTTTCTTTTTTAATTTTTTATTTTACCCCTGTGCCCTCTCCCTCTTCTTCTCCTGCTCACCCCAACTCCCCAGATTCCACCCCCAAATCCCTTCCTCAAGGCCTGTTTTGGGTAGTCAACACAGGCTGCATACCAAGTTAGTACAGAACCAAGCCCCTCCCCACTGCATCATGGCTGCGTAAGGCATCTCACCACAGGGAATGGGCTCTAAAAAGTCAATTCGTGTACCCAGGGTAAGTCTTGGTCCTATTGCCAGGGGACCCACAAACACATCAAGCTACGCAGCTGTCACCCACATTCAAAGAGCCTAATGCAGTCCCATGCAGATTCCGCAGCTGTCAGTCCAGTCCAGAGTCCATGAGCTCCCATTAGCTTAGGTCAGCTACCTAGCCTTGCCCTTTACTCAGATTGGTGTCTACCCTAATTGTCATCATAGAACCTACATTGAGTGACTGATGGAAGCAGGTGCAGGGATCCACACTTGGCCAAGCTCCTGTGGTTCAGTTGAGGAGAGGGAGGAGGGATTATATGATGGGGGGGTCAGGATCATGATGGGCAAAATCACAGAGACAGCCTTTTTGTTTTCTAAAGAGAGAGAAAGAAAGCATAGAGTCAGATGGGTGGAGAAGTGGAGAGGATCTAGAAGGTGATGAAGGAATGGAAATCATGATCATAATAGATTGTATGAAAAAAATTATCTTCAAAAATATGGGGCATAGAATTAAATAGAGATTTCCCCAAAGATGAACACTAACTGCTGAGAAACATCTAAAAATTTCCAGCATCCTTAGATATCAGAGAACTGCAAATTACAAATATACTGAGTTTTTTTTTCTTACCCTAGTCTGAATGGCTTTGAATCAAAAAATAATGCTGACAAATATTGGAGTGGATGTGGTGAAAGGGGAACACATATTTACTGTGTTCCTATTGCTGAAGACACCACATATTTTAATCATAGAACACATAGAAACACAGAGAAATCAGGTTGGTAATGACTAGTGGACCCCGTGAGCTACGATAACAACCAGCCTGACAGATGTACCCAATGATGTGATGCAATAGTAGCATGAATGCCATGGGAGCAACACATCATTTTATGATTAGATCTGAGGCTTGTTATAAAATATGGAAGGATATCTGGCTCCATTATTGGGTAAAGAACCTAGAGTTAGACAAATCAGAGGCTCCAGGAGAGAATCTACTATTGTTCTGCTAAACGGACAGAGTAGTAAACCAGTTCCTAATGTTTTATTATACTCCTAGATTAAGATATCATCTCAGAGAAGCTTCTGTTCATTGTAGATAATCAACACAGAGACCTACAACTGTCCAAGGCTCATAAAATAAGAGACCACAGAATGTCCAGCCCTAAATGGAACATGTATACTGACCTTCCCCACCAATGGCTCAAGGATTATTGTAGAAATGGTGATATATAAAGAGTGTAAAGCAGTGGGTGACTACAAGGAAACAGTGTCTTATGGACACAGCAGGACAGTTGTACATATGAATGCAGAGAAGTTGTGATACCATGCACAAGACGCATGCAAGCCAAAACCAGACCAAATCCCAGCACAGAGATGATGTTGGGCATGAAATTCCACCCCTAACCAAGGAACTATTAGAAAGTCATAGCTACTGGGAGAGGAAGTGTTGTTTTCTCTAAAAATGTAGCCCCTGAGAATTCAACCATGTTTTGAGTTGACAACCACACATCTAAGAATATTCGTGTAGCACATGGCCTTGATGGGGGGGGGGCTGTACACAGAAGGCTGAATGGAAGGGACAGGGATTGATCTTGGAAAATTTTGGGGAAGGAGCTTGAATAAGACCAAACATGTTTCAAAATTCTCAAAGAACTAATAAAAACAAACAAAAATAAACATTCATAGTTCTATATGCGTTTTCAAAATAATTTTCCTTTAGCTTCAAATATCAGATTCTTTAAGGACAGGTAGTGAATATCTTATAAACCAATTAGACTAGACAAGTTGTTTCTGAAATGTTTTGTCACAGGTAAAATGAATCAGGTATCACAGCCTTTACAAAAATGGACAGGATTGCCTGATAATATGATTTCCTTATCTTTTCTTTCCAGTTTGAACAAACTTCCAGCCACATTTTAAATACGCAACATTTTTATTATAACGGATTTCACAGTCACCACAGGCCGTCAGGAACCCAAACCCATCCAGAGTGGTATTAGAACCAGTTGACTACATGTGTTGTCACCCGAGGGTATGTAGTTCCTTTGTTGCTCATGACAAACTCCATCCAGAAGATCATTCCATCCTGGGGCTTTACTGGATGATCATGGTGGATTCTTGAGAATATCATAGCATTCTATTTATATCTGAAAAGGAAAAATAGAGATACTAACATAGAAGGAAGTTAATTTGGCAGCAAATCAATGTAAAAAATTTAAAGTAACCAACAGGTGATGAAAAATAAATGCACAGTGAATTCATGGTTGTAAATTCTCTTCCAATAGTCACGACTTCACTAGTGCGGAGTAGTTAGCTAGATTTTCAGGTCCAGGCATGGTTTCTTTCCCTCTTGTTAGTCGTATACCCACAGATAAGTGTAGTCTTCACCCCTCATCAAGGAAACTTCTCTTTGCAACAGACAGAGACCACTACAGAAAACAACAACCAATGAAACTTCAGAGTTTGCAGCCCAGTCCCAGTGAATACTTCTACAAAACACTCCTGCTCCTAAAGCTCAGGAAACATTGCAGCCCAGTCCCAGTGAATACTTCTACAAAACACTCCTGCACCTAAAGCTCAGGAAACATTGTAGAACAGGGAGTGGGGAGATTGCAACAGGCAGAGAGTTTACTGTGAAGACTGTGTGTTTCCCAGTACTGTCAGAAATGACATCCCCCAAATCTCAACTACATGGCCACCCAAACAAGAGAGGAACAGGGATGACACCAACGAACCCGCAAAACTGGATGGAGGAATGCCCACAAACCTCAGCCCTAAACAAAGAACTATAGACAGTGGAGGGAAGCTGGGAGGAGGATGAAGTGTCTTCCCAAGGAAGAGCACACCCATTGATGGTGAAGGACCAAACAGTCAGCGTGAAGTCATAAATACCAGTAACACTATATGGACTGAACAGGTTATATTTAGGAATAATTATGTATACACAAATACATGAATGCATTCAATAAAAATCATTGAAGAAAGAGGCCATGAGTTTGAAGGAGAAGTGGGAGGGGTCTATGGGAGGGTTTCAAAGGAGGAAGGGAGAAATGTAAATATATTATAATCTCAAAAATAAAAAATAAACATCATTGCCTTGTCATACAAGTAATGAAGTTTTGCTTTGATCTTCATGTGGTCATTGGTTTATAATTAGAATCTTCGTATGGGGCAGTATTTCCTAAAGTGAAAATGGAATGTCAGGAGACAACACAACTTTTTCTCCTAGAAAGATGGTGATGAGTAATTTTAAGTCCTGTAAATTTAACAGTAGAAATGAAATTTGAGAATGATCATAAGGCTGGAGAGTCAAGAAAGGTTTTAATTCATCTCAATTTATACCGAAAATCCTTGACAAATGCAACATTCCTTCATGATGAAAGTCTTCAAGAGACTGTGAATTGAAGGAATGTAAGAAAGGCTATATATGAAAAATTTGTAGCTAATAGTATACTAAATGGAAAAATCAAGCATTATCACTGAGATCAGGCATAAAGACATGGATCAATTTGTCCATGTGTATTTAATATAGTCCCTGAAATCTTAGCTAGAGCAATAATACAAGAGAAAGAAAAAAACTGGATACAAGTAGAAAAATTTTTTCTGATATTTGCGTATTGTGTGATCCATGTAAGAGAACCTAAAGTCCACCACACAATTCTGAGAACTAATGAACTATTTCATCAATATTTTGACACAAAATCAATATACAAATATCAGTAGCAGGCCAGGGAGATGACTCAGTAGTGAAACCACCTGCCACTCAAGCTTGAGAACCAGAGTAAACCCAAATGGATAAAGTAGCCCACTTATATTTCATTGTTTCAAGTTCTCAGGACAGGTGAACTGAAATCAAACTAGCTAGCTAGACTAGTTCGTGTTGGTGAGCTCTGAGTTCAAATGAGAGGCTGGCTCAGTGAAAGACATGGAGAATGATTGAAGAAGACTCCCAATACCAACCTCAGACCTCCACACAATGCACACACATGTGCACTACACACTCACAATGCACTAATGCACATATATACACACATGCATGCTACACACAAAAACACATACAAAAATCCAGGACGCTTTATATATGTCAATAATGAGCATTCTGAGAAAGAAATCAAGAAAAAAAATCTATGCAAAACCGCTTTAAAACAAAACCCACTACCACCAAGTATAACCTAGGAATAAACTCAACCAAGGGATAAGGGGAAAGATTTCTACAGTAGACATTATAAACACTGAAGAAAAAAATGTAAGAAGGTACTAGAAAATGGGAAGACCCACTATATTCATGACATATTTAATAGTGTAAGCATTACTCTACTATCACAACTACGGATACAATTCAGTACAATTCTCATCAAAATAAAAATTATACTTTATACAGAAGTATAAAATATCCTAAAACTCACATGGAAGGACAAAAGATCCCAAATATCCTGCAATCGTGGGCAAAAAGAATAATGCAGAAAGTATCACCATGTACAATTTGAAATTGCACTGCCAGTTCATAGCAGCAAAAGCAACATAATACAGGCACAAAGGAGACATGTATTTCAATGGGACAGAATAGTAGACTCGTAATTGAACCTGCACAGCTACAAGCACCATTATTTTGGGGGGTGGAAGATGCAAAAATCATACATTGAAGGAAAGAAAATTCTGCAATAAAGAATGCTAGAAAAATTGACATCATTATGTGTAATACTGAACCTAGATTAATATTCCTCATCCTGAACAAAGCACAATTCAAAATATATAATGACCTTGATGTTATACCTGAACTTAGGAAGTGTTAAAGAAAGCAGGGACAGTATTTCAAGACATGGTGTTAGGCAAGGACTTTCAGAAAAGAATTCTCAGAGATAAGGAAATGAAATCAGGAACTGACCTGTGGGACTGCATGAGATTTAAAAAGCTTATGCACAGCGAAGGGTACAGTCCAGGGTAAACAGCCTAAAGAATGAGAGAAAACCCTGCCAGCTACGTACCTGAGAGAGGATTAAACCACGGAATGTATGAAGAACTCACAAAATGGAACACTGAAAATATGAGTCAGCCCACTTGCTAAAAGAGCAAATGAAATGAATAGTCTGCTCTCAGAACAAGGGAACATTCTAGTTGTTTGTGTGTCTAAGGTTTCAGTGATGACCACACTGATCTGGACAACCAATAAAGGGTTGCCTGCAGTTTTTTTGTTTGTTTGTTTTCTGTCTATGGTAGGGACCTCTAGAAATTTTCTCCCTTTTATGTTAACATGTTCATTGATACTGCTACTGTTCCAGTCTTGTTTACACAGCCATCTCTCAGAGAGACTGTTTTACAACAGGCTTCCTGGTATTTGGGCTCTTACAATTTTTCTACCCCCTTTCCCATGATGTTCCCTGAGCTCCAGAAGGTTGTATTTGTATGTTTGTTCACACACACACACACACACACACACACACACACACACACACACACACACACCACACAAACATACACTGTGACACACTCATACACACACCATACAAACATACAGAAAAAAAGCAAACAATGTAACAGAGCTAAAATTACATTATATATGACCCAACTATACCCCTCTTGAGCATGACCTTTGAAGATTCCAAGGTTGCACATCACAGAGATGTATATGCATCAATGTGGCAACCTATTCACAGTGGCTAAGTCATGGAACCAACATAGGTTTCAGTACAGGCAAAAGAAAATGTAGTTTATATACACAACAGGACTTTTCAGCCTTAAAAGATGAAGTTATGTCATTTTCAGGAAAATAAACACAATTGGAGTTAATCGTATTAGGGTAGTTAAGCAAATCTAATAAAGACAGTATCACATGTTTTCTCTCTTATGTGGACTCTAAATAATGGAGATACAGGTCTATCTGTCTGTCTGTCTGTCTGTCTATCATGTATACAGTGTTCTGCTTGCATGTATGCCTGCACTCCAGATGAAGGCACCAGATCTAGTTATAGATAGTTGTGAGCCACCATGTGGTTGCTGGGAATTGAACTCAGGACCTCTGGAAGAGCAGCCAGTGCTCTTAACCTCTGAGCTATCTCTCAAGTGACTCTAAATGTTACATGTATATATGTTTGATCTCTCCCTCTTCTCTCTCTCTTTCTCTCTCTCTCTCTCTCTCTCTCTCTCTCACACACACACACACACACACACACACACTTCTAAACATAAATAAAGGTAAATCTATATCTAAATCTGTATAATGTTACTTGTTTGTATGTTTTCAGGGATGACCATTTGGTTTTGGATAATCAACTGGTATGCTCTTCGATGGAGAAGATTATTTCTCCTGCTTTCAGCATTCCTTAGCTAGCTGCACGCAGTTCATTGTGTAGGGCTGAGCCCTTCTGGTTTTTCTATGTCCACTTTGACTTGTTTCTTGTTGTTGTCCTTGTTCATCTCATGTTTAGTTGGTCATGTTGGTGAGACTTTATGGTTATAACTTCTGATATTGCCAGGAGACACAATCTTACAAGAGATTCTCTGATTGATTTACACAAATCCAGTCTTTTGATTAAAAATAAGATACAGGTTCATCTTCAAAGAGACAGAAACACTAAGATTATGCAACACCTATTTTAAAATGTTCCTAGAACTTCACTCTAAAATTATTTCCATTTTTTCTCAGTAAATGATTGGAACCAAAAGCCAAGGACAGAGCACATAAATTGTGTTTTTAAACCTTCTCAATGAATGTCATCTGCTCACTTAGCTCTGAGAGAACAGTGGTACACAGGAAGGGAAAGTCTTCCACTGTACTTTTCTACTGTGTAGCCAAGCAAGAATTGCAGAGGTAATTTTTTTTAAAACATATTTTAAGAACCTCAGCCACCAGCTCACCACACTGACAAGTGGCATCTTCAAGTATAACATCAAAGTTTGAGTCCTGTAGTTTTATCATGAATCTCTGCAGCACTAGTTCACAATATTCAAATATTCTGCAAAGCCTCTTCATTATTGGGACTGATAGTTCCTAATCAACATTTTTATTACTCACATATTCACCAATTGACCCATTTCGTGATGTGATCTTCAAACTGCTGTTTCATCAAATATACAGAGAAAAATATCAAATTTAGAGGAACCCAGTTTGCTGGGATCAGTAAGAATCTAATTCACCTCATGGTCTCAGCACAAGTCCATTCAGGATGTGACGATAGTGATCTGATGGCTGTCTTCCAGTCACATCAGCACTCTTATGCAATTTCCAGAGTTGAAGATGTCATTGGCATCAGCAGAAGAACTGAGGTGAGCTTTGTAGGTAGCTTAGTGCAATTTAAAGGCTTCTTTTACATTTGTCATCCCTATGAACCCAAGCTTATATCCAACAAGAAATCAATCAAGAAGTTAATGTGTAACTCGTACACTTCAAAGTCCACTGTTAATAGGCAGCTTCTGATGGTGTGGAATGTAGTTGGCCAAACAGAACTTCAATGACGTTAAGGTTCTAAAAATTGTTTTGTATCATTTTTTAGTTCTGTAAGGCTATCTTCCAACCAAGAGAATGACTTTGCATTTATAGGTTATATATATATATAATTTGTGTGTAGCATTTTTGGAGCAGTGTCAAAAATAGCATACTCTGGAAGCCCTCCTGGCTGGTCTGTATTGTGCATAGCTATATAAAATTATAAATGCAAGTAAATCAATAGTTATTAATTAGATGTCATTAAGTAATTGTGTATTTGAAAACTTTGATCATTAAAAATACACATACCTAAGCCGGGCGGTGGTGGCACACGCCTTTCATCCCAGCACTCGGGAGGCAGAGCCAGGCGGATCTCTGTGAGTTCGAGGCCAGCCTGGGCTACCAAGTGAGTTCCAGGAAAGGCGCAAAGCTACACAGAGAAACCCTGTCTCAAAAAAAAAATACACATACCTTAACACATAAAGTTAAACTGATAATTCTGTGTTTCATATTTACAGGATTGTAAAAGCCTTTTGTATTTTTGCTTGTTTTGCTATATTTTGTATTGCTATAAAATGTCTAAGCCTCATTATTCTGTTGTATGACAAGCCCAAAGAGCATGGCACTGGCAGTTGATGAGGGTCTTCTTGCTACACCATGACACAGTAAATAAGTGCAACATGAACCACATGGCTTCTTATACAAGCTCAGGCAGGACACTTCCAAAATATTTTTCCAGTAGTTTGTACAGTAGTAGGTTTCCATGTGACTTCTTCAGATACACTTAATTTTGTTTGATCTCTCTCCACCTGCTTTTCTTTATCTCTCAGTCCCTCTACTTGTCTAAACTTTGCCATGTCTGGTCTTCTCCACTTTCATATTTCTCATATTATACAGTTTCAATATTACTTCAGGATTATTCCCATCTCATGGCTCCATGTTAGTTTCCCAGTTTCTATAGACACCCTGGGTTAAATATAACTCTAAATACTTGAAGCTATGCTCTACATATGAGAGAGAGCATAAGGCAGTGGGGCATTTGTCTCTGATCCTGGGTTATCTCATCCAGTTTAATGTTTTCTAGTCCATCCATTTTACTGCAAATTTCATTTTTTTACAGCTGAATGTAATTCTGTGATATATATGCACCACTGCATTTTCATGGTTCAGTCTTCCATGGAAGGACATCTAGTCTAGTTGCATTTGCTGGCTATTGTGAGCAGGGAAGCATGAGCATGTTTGTATAGTCATCTCTGTAGTAGGACATAAAGTCCTTTGGGAGTCTGCCCAGGAATAGTACAGCTGGATCATATGGTAGTTTTGTTATTATTGTTTTAAGAAATCTCCTGGTATGTAGAACTGAATGGTATTGTAAAATAAAATAAAATTAATTTAAAAAAAAGAAAGAAAACAGTTTTGGTTACTATAACTCCAATACACTGATCATAGCTGACAAAACTAAAAAAAGAAAAAGAAAGAAAGAAATCTCCAGACTGATTTCCACAGTGGCTACACTAATATATAACCCAACCGTGGTATATAAGGCTTCTCCTTTCCACACACATCCTCACCAGCATATACTCTCATTTGTGTTCCTTATGGTAACCATTCTGACTGGAGTGAGATGGGATGTCAAAGTAGTTTTAATTTACATTTCTTTTCCTGTGGCCAAGCATACTATTTACCACTGCTTAACTTCATTATTTAGTTCTGTGGACTCATGTTCTTATTTTTGTAATTCCTTCCTCCATTATGTTTGTTTCCATTGTCAACATAAGAAAAATCAGCTCTCACCAAAAGGTTATTTATTCTGGATCTATTAGTGAACATAGCACAGGAACACAGATTTGGGTAGCCAAAATTTCATGTCCCATCACTGTAACAGTTTAATGATAACATAACTAATAAAATCATAAGTTAACATGTTTTTAAATACTTAAATAAAACAAGATGGGAGATTGTGACTGAGAAAATGCCACCCACTGTATAAAATAGCAAGTTTTGTACCTAAAGATTGCAGACAAAAGTAAACATAAAATTATAAAATCAAAGTAAGTATTATTTAAATGCTCAGAGAGGAATACATTGTTATGGAAAACAAAACTGAGCTGAGAAGAAAAAGATAAGTTCTTGATATCAGAAGTGCATTCACCCGTTGCAGAGAATGTAAAAAATATGTGAATTCAAAGGAAATAGAAAGAATAATAAAAAATAACTGCAGAGATGGCTTAGTAGTTAAGACAATGTACTGCTATTACAGAGGACTGAGTTTGATTCCCAGTACTGAGCTGCTCACAACTGCCTGTAACTCTGGCTTCAGGGAACCTGATGTCTCTGCCCTCTGTGAGCACTTGCACTCACATGCACTTACAAACCCCAAACACATAATTAAAAATAAAATAAATCCTAAAGGAAAAGAATGAACAAGATCATAGTAGGAAATACTAATTTTCTACCTCACTTAATCTCAAGTTCAATAGCTTCCAGCAGTCAGCTAAGTGCTCTGGAATTGTCAATAAACAGGTTCAAAGCATCGTTACCACCTCACTGTTGGCAAGTTTTTCTGTCCTGCTAGCCAGGTCCCAAATAGCCACACAGAGACTTATTATTAATTGTAAATGCCCAGCCAATAACTTAAGCTTGTTACTATCTCTTACAACTGAAATGAACTCATAATTCTTATCTATGCTCTACCACATGGAGGTACCTTTTTTCAGCACAGCATGTTCATCTCCTGCTCCCTCTGTGTCTGGCTGGTGACTCCATCCCCTCCTTCCCAGCATCTCTCAGTTTGCTTCCTCTGCCTAACCTCTTCCTGCCAGGCTATTGACCAGTCAGCTCTTTAACAACGAGAGCAGCATCTCTTCACAGTGTACAGAAGGATTATTTCACAGCACATTAGGCCCTTCTTCATCCCGGATTTATGTACCCAATCCACTTGTTTCTGATTATTTTCTCAGTCACAATCACCCATCTTATTTTACTTAAATATTTGTGATTTATGTCCATTTTGATTTTATCATATCATTACTCTTGCAAACTGCATGTAGTTACAATTGGATTTTGACTTCAAATTTTCTTTCTATACCTAGAATTTCTAGTTAATTACTTTCTTTTTGTGTCATCGATTGTTTCAGTTCATTTGTCAGTTTCTCTGAGCCACACTGATCATTGCTGGATATTCCCGCTGTTTTTACAACCCTGAACTGAGCATTAGCACCAACTGTCCACAAGAGGTCAGTGTAGGAAAAGAAACAATGCATGATAAAAGATGGCTAATAAGTTTAGTGATACTACCCATGAGGTTTCTACTGATACATAAATGCAGTTAAAGAATAATAACACACTACATTATGTTTTTATTACCTTACTCTCATGTGATGTCTTTTCTTTGTGGTGTAAATAGGTACCACATGTAAGCATAATCAGTTTAACAAAAATAATCACAGTATATTTCTTCTCGGGGCATCATTATCATAGTGCTATAACTAGTTTTATTGATAATAATTTATTATTTTTTCACCTAATGCGGATATAATATGAGTCTACCATTAAACTAACTGAAATATCTCTTTTTAGGTAGGGAAACTGTTCTTTGCTTAATTCCTTTGTTTTCTGGGGCTTATTTTCCAAACTTTTCTGAGTCCAAAGACAAGGATTTCAGAGACAAAAAATAAGCTATTGAAAATAATTTTTTCATTGAAAATATTCCCTTGAGGAAGATTCAGTCTTCTGCCTAGAGGAACCTCCCAACTGGTTATCTAAGTGATCAAATCTAAAAACACATGCATGTGTATACGTGTATATACATACACATATACACATACATATGTACAAACACACACATGTACATAAATATGTGCAGCACCTAACGGACTAATAGATTGTATTTATATATTTATTCATATATACATATATATACACATATGTAACACTAGTAACTAGAGAAAAGGAAGCTATGAATTTGAGAGGGAATGGTGGCATGGAAGGGTTTGGAAAGGGAAGGAGGGACAACATGCAGATTCAGTACACATCTAAGAAATTATGCATGTACGCTTTTATAAAGAAAAGTTAGGACTAATTCAAAAGACATTTACAGCTCTTTGTTTACCGAAGTATTATTCATAATTACTATGAATTAATAATTCTGGTAATTCCAGAATCAAACTAAGAATTCAAAATTTGAATGGGTAAAGAGCATGTCACACACACACACACACACACACACACACACACACACACACACAGAAATTCTGTCATTGGTGGCAACACAGATGAATATGTAGGACACGTTGTGAATGAAAGAAGCAGGTATAGAGACATCAATACCTCCTAATTTCACTGAGCAAGCCCAAACCAAATAGATAGAGAATGGTGGTGACCACTAAGGGTTGGGGTGGGACATGAGATGGGTGGATATTGGTTAAAGATAGAAACTTTTAGTTCAACACAAGGAATAAACCCCAATATCTACTTTTCCTAATTATTATAATAACTAAAATCTATTATATGTTTGAAAATTTCTGAATGGATTTTACCATAAAATTATAAAAACAAGGAGAATAATCAGCTTAATTTAACCATTTTAATATGTATAGATATGGATTTATCAAAGTACTATGCTGTGTACGTTGTTGTCTAATACATAGAGGCATTCAGTGAAGCAAAAGTAGTAAATCAAAGTATTTAAGGTCTCACATTCAAAAGGTATTTCAGGCAAAAATAACAGCAGTTCCACAGTTTTGAGTGGAAAGTGTTAGAACTATAAAGATTTTGTGAAATAAGAAATGTCTGAAATGGAATAATTTTTTAAAAGATTTTCCCCCAACATAATATTTTTATTAATTATTTGGGAATTTCATACAATGCACT